TCTTTTTTGTGGGCTGACAAACTTCTAAAGGCATAGAAGTTGAAGTGGTTTGATACTCGGTGAAAACAACCATCGCTGTAGAAAACTTTTCACAGCAAAACTGTATCAACTGCTGCCATTATCTAAGTCAAACTTATTAACGAACCTTTCAAGGTTTGAAGAGCAGATATCCTTAAAGTGTAGATAATAAACTTTCAATATGACGAATAAGTTTTCAAACAATTAGAACTTTGGATGACACTATTCACTTTCAGAAAATTATCAAAACTTTCCCGTTCTGAAATAAAAAAAACTTACTGATTTTCTGTAGTAATCAACAAATACTTTGATGTTCCGGCCACAAAAAGAAGAAACGAAAATATACTATGGCGCAGTGTTTATTTTTCCCGCCTAATTTTGACTATCATTATAATGAAGCCTTTGCCCTAATTTGGTTTTCGCCAGGTTTATAAGGTACAAAGAGTCGTGAAAAGATATCAGAAAAACTGCTCTGTTTTTTCCACTTTCAAGCAAATTCGATTAAACTAGTTGACACTGAAAAGAAAAAAACTTCGTGAAGAAACTGTTCTGAACAGTTTGCATTTAAGAAAAAATCAATGGAAATTTGTGGACACTCAAGTTAAAACCTAAATTGATGGCGCTTAATTCAATCATACTGCATTTTGAGCGTTTTCATTAAAAGTATTCGACCCTCACTTTTTTAGTTTTTGTGATTTTCAAACGCTTGCTCCGAAAAATATGAATTATATTTTAAATAACAAAACTAAAAATTACAAAATAGGAAAATTTGATTATTCTAAAACGTACCCCGACTGATGAGTTTGTCTATTTAAATAATTGTTTTTTGAACTCTGAGCAACTTGCACAACCAGCGGCATATCTAGGTTTTTCTTGAGTGGGGGCAGATTTGAGTTAAAGTCCGTGGTGGCTTTCTCATAGAATAATTTCGGACAGGGTTCGTCACGCTATCTTATTTTCGGCCGGATTGATTTGTGCAACTTCCTATTCTAATACCGATCCTAATCTTGCTCTTATATTTCTTTGTCTCAAAAGATCTTGTATATACTGGTATTCTTGCCAGGTTAGAGGAGAGGAAGAGCAACTACTTTCTAAGTTAAATTTTTTCTTCTCTGGCTGAAACTATAAATAGTTTCAGCCTTACAAATTTTTGTAAGTTTTAGTCATGGATCATCATTGATTAGTTTTAGGTTTTTTACAGTGATAGTTATCAAGAATATAACTGGATATGTTAAATACTTGTTTTGAATTGCTTCCAGATTTTAAAAAGGGAACGTTTTTAAGAACTTTTTCTGTTCTCTAGGTCGGTGGAAATGTTTGTCTGAGCTCTCCCAATTCTGCATGTAAATTTAATTTGAAAACGGTGTTTTAAGGCTTTTTTAGAAAACTTTGACCAAACATTGCGCTTTTTTGGCACGCGCTTCCCCCTCAAGATTAGTATAGATTAGCACCAAAGGCACTTTTAAAAAAATTTTAGGGTCGGTTTGCTAAAATTGGATGTCTAGATATATTAAAACGCTTGCAAAGGGGGACCCTTTAGATCGTTAAGGGGTCGACACCTTGAGGGAATGGAAAGCGTCTACCCCAAACCCACCCCTAAATTCGCTACTGTGCATAACAACTATTTCTTTTCGTTAATGTTCAGACTCTGTCACTGCAAGTGACCAGAAGGAACTGTTGGTTAACTAATATTTTTTCAATCAGTTCTTTTCTACCTCAAAGAAAAATTGAAGCCAGTAGGAGGCCTAAAAAGCATCGTTCTAAACTCTTATTGCTCTGAACAATCAGACTATAAAACGATGTCTTTTTGAACCTTACAAGCTTCAAACTTTTTTGAGGTAGAAAAAATTGGTCGGAAAAAGTTTTTTACTCAGAAAAATTTGCTCTCAGTGCATCCAAAATCTTTTAGCTCTATGAAAAAAACCTAAAAAAAAACTTTAAAAAAAATGAAAAAAAAAACCTAAAAAAAACTAAAAAAACCTAAAAAAAAAATTTGTCGGGAGAAAAGAGATATCTGAGCAAAAATGTCGCTAATTTCTTTGCAAGCTTGAATGTAAAATAATACAAAATTTGTTTGTATGATTCGCTCTTTGAAATCGCCAATGTATCAGGTTTTACATAGCTTTTAATCTTCCGATTGGCTAAAAAGCAGCTTACAATGTTCAATCACAATCATAAAGCGACTGGCATGACTGAACAGAAAATAGATTGTTTACGTTGAAGCTATTAGGAGGCCAAAAAGGCATCGTTTTAAAATCCTATTGCTCTGAACAATCAGACTAATCTGTTTGGCTTTACTGTACCGTGAAACCATATTTCGTTTTCTGAGCACTTTCGAAAAAAGAATCAACATCATCTTTTTCATATCCGAACATGAGATTGAAAAAAATGATTCCTCTGTTGAGCACAATTTTTCTTGTTTTATGCGCGGCAGCAGTTTATTTTATATCAAGTAAGTTCATATTTATTAGGTGCGAGGGGACGCTAGAACGTAGCAGCAGGTTTTTTGAACTCAAAACGTTCAAAAGTTCGCGAACTTCTTAGGTTAGCGAAAATGAGACCACATTTTGAACAAACATTTTTTGAACAATGTATTTTTGAGCACACGCACTGCAAATTGAAAACAAGTCTCTGAAATTTTCAAATGCGATCTTAAAGAAGCAAACAAAAATCAGAATTAAGAAATTAAAAACCTCAAGAAATTTTTGCTGTAGGTCTTTTGCCCTGTTGTCTGTTGCAAACAAAAAACACTAGCGAAAACGTCAAAGTCAATTAGCCTGTTGAGTGACCCCTCAAAAGCAGAGATAATCAATTTTAATTTTGCACGCATTACTCACAAAAATTAATCGCAAACTTTTATTGGAAATAAAAATTAAACATTTTTTGTTAGGTTATCAACCTAAAAGTGCCATTTTAGTCTTAGAAAAAACATGATTCAACGACTGCTTTTCTTTAATGTAAATTTTGCCGGCAATCAAAATGTTAGTATGTCCAATAAAAATCAAAAGTACCCGTGAAAGTGTTTTTAAATTTTACTGGCATGTTTCCTGAAAAATAGCAAGAAAAATGGTTGTGCATTGCGCCCTTTCTAGACCGAAGACCAAAAAGCAGGATTAACTCTAACTATATATTATATGAGAGTTTTGCCCTCTACTGTAGCTTCGATTAGACAAATAAGAAATTATTTCAGCCTTTCAGTTTGTTTCATTACAAATTTTTTAATTGCTCATCCAAGTGTCTTTGACACGCACTCCCAGGGAACACAATAATCCAAAATTTCCACTATGGTGGGGCGCGTGATGGTGTAAAAGGAAACCCCGAATTCCTAGAAAACCTTTATTTTTGTTTCAAAAATTCAAATTACTAGGACAACGTAATATTAATTTTTGGGGGCGAGAGTTCCGAAGCTGTAACCTAATTTTTGTTTTAAATTTTTTTAATTATAAAAATTAAAAAGTGAGATAGTTCCATCAAATTGATTAGTTTATCAAATGAGACAGCAGCTCATGAATTCGTAATTCAAGTGATCTAACCTGGGGCGGATTTAGGGAAGGGGCGGATGCCCCCCTCCCTCAGGGATTCGACCCGCTGCCGACCCAAAGGGTCCTCCATTGTACTGTTTTGATATATCCAAACATTCGGCCAAAACACGGCTTTTTTAGTGCTTTGGCAGAGCTCGGATAATCAAGAGTCGACCTTAAACAAGACATTTTTTTTAAATCCAAATACTATGAGTGGTTTTACATCAAATCCATTTCTGTTACCTTCATTTCACTTTGAATGTTCCTTTCTCGTTAATTATCTTTCATCAAGTAAATTAATTTTTCAAGCCGCCTTGTTGTTCAATTCGAATTTGAGTTTTGTCTCGGAGTGTTTGGGTGATTTAGTACACCAGCGGTCTCGGTGACAATTATGCAAACAATTAGCTCTCGAGAACAAGTGGACTCGCAATAAATGCAGCGGTGCAGAGAAAAAAATATCCTGTAATCAAATTTTTGTTTCGAAATTTCCTCTAAAACATTTTTTGTGTTTGACGGTTCCTCTTTCTTAAACTATAGCGGTGAAGGAAGTGCGCCACTTTAAATTGATTTCACAATTTCATTGATGGGAATAATCTACCAAAGTTTTTCACGAAACTAGTCAACTTCTTTTCTGATAGCGATTGTGGCCGGAAATCAAATATTTTGCGCATCAACAAGCTCTTCAATTTTGAATACTCTTGTTGTTTTCCACGTATATACGCCTGCAGAAGTACATCCCCGTTTTTGTTCCGACTTTCGATGCGAAAGTCACGGAATATTTGTGCTCGGGGTGGGTTTTTTACGGGATTTTTCAAAATCATTCGAAAGGTTTTGTTGTCCTGAGCTTAAAGTTGAAAAAATATATATTTCACCTGTGATCATTTGTCGTAAAATTATGGGGGCTTAAAGGTAGCAGTTTTGGCCAATTTGGGAAATTAACGCGCGATATATTTCGCGGTATTAACGCGTAAGCGGAGATTTAATCCGTCTTAGAAATAGTTTCAAATTGGTTGAAGGAAGTTATTTACCACAACCAATCTAATACTAGGAACAAAATCTACCACTTTGTACTTTATATGGCCGGTGGGGGGATGATTTTTGCAAAAAAAAAAACTTTTTTTTAAAAAAGTTTTTTTATTTTTTTTTATTTAATTTTTCATGTTATTTTATTTTTTTATATTAAACTTTTCATGTTATTACTGTCCATAGACCTTAAAAAGCTGTCGGAATATTCAGGGCCTCGCCCTGATACGAGCATTCTTGTTTGATTTTCAGACCAGCTGAGAGCGTAGAATTGAACTGAATTCTTCTTCTGCGTACTTAATTTATGATTGTAAATAGGCTGAACTCAAATTGTTATTTTTAAACTTCAACTAAATTCTTTGTTCACTAGTTCGCTAATTGTAACCTCAGCTCTTCTCTTCCCTGCACCCCGCCCGCTTACCCTCACTAAAGATAAAAGAAGGTCAAATCTTTTTTTAAAGTATATTTTCTGCAGAAACAATTTTGACCGGAACTCTCCGCACTACTTGCTAGTTATACGCTTTTTTATATTTAGATATTGTTTGAAGATTTTTTGAAATTCGTTTTTGCATCAATATCTAAATTTGCCAAGATCTTATTTTGCACCAATTTACGAGAAATTGAATCAAAAACGTATCATTCTTCAATGTTCAAGTTAAGTGCAGAACATTTGAGGGGTAGTGCAGCATTCTCTACAGCATGTTGTTTACGTTTTTGAATTCTCGGTCCTGCCTCGTGTACCATTTTGGCCTCCTGATGACCTCTTCAAGCCAACTGTCTGGTAGAAAACTGACCTGAAGTATGCGCTTGCCGCGAAGTATGCGTAGAAATTCATCGAATTGTTGATCACAACAGGTATCTTCTGAAAATGGAAAGGCGTTACAATTTGAAGCTCGATCTTGCTTGTACAACAACTCTCGTTCATCGCGCTTATTGTTCCCACCATGAACAAAAGAATACTCTGCTTTCGGTTGTTAATTTTGCAATTTTTTTGCTCGCAAAATCAGGTACCACAAATGGTTTCGTCGTAGTGCCTTCCCGTGTGGCACACGATCATATAAGCAAAGATGACTGATTTCTGTACAAGTAGCAAAGCTGCTGGGACCGCAATTCTCTCAGCCAAAAAATATCGTATTAAGAAAGACAATGTGTTTGGTCTAAACTTATCCTTTTTCTCCTTACAATTTATTTTGAAAAATGACTCTGATCAGATGATTTTGTGCGAATTCATCCCTATTACTATTTTGAGTGTATTGCTAATAAGCTTAGACGAAATCATCTGTCATTTTGAAACCTAAGGCGTTTACTTTCTTGCAATAATAACGGTTTTCGGAAGTTCTGTGCGTCTCGTACTCTGGTTATTGTTGGTGTTGTCCTTAACAAGATTCAAAAATATTCTTTTTCAAATTTATGAAAATAAGTTTGATCTATAATTTTCGCGGGTTGACCCTCATACACCAAAAATGCTGATCATACAATTTCATAAACTAAGTCTATGGAAAAACCTTAATCATACAAACTTCGGTCAAATTTTACAATCGGGGGGAGCAGTGGTGAAGTGGTTAACGTCTCCGCCTCTCAACCGAAAGGTCGGATGTTCGAGGCCCACCATGATCCGTGCTCGTTGCTTGAGGGTAAGGCAACATTACCCAGCCCAGAAAAATAACCAAAAAAATTGCATGTAGTTCTTAAGCAGGGGCACAACAGCGGTTCGCCGTGATGAGCTGTACAGCTCGTATGTTGGTCCTATCCCTCGTGGATAAATGATCTTAAATAGGTGGTAATTTTTAGTATAGTGCATGAATTAAATTTCACAACTATAAGGCATAATATAGTCATTTCATTTATTATACATGCTGCTAAGATAGTTTTTGTAAATATAATACTCTGCCAGATAAAATGTTATTCAAAAACTCAAATTTTACACTTCTTTTGCCAAAAATTTGGCTTTTGAAATAAATTTTAAATACTGCGAAGTATAAAAAAAGCGATCCACGTAATTACCACCTATTGTAATATATCAACCAAATTTCATACATTTTGCAAAAACGGTGCCATCAAAATTTTGAAGAACTTTTTTCTTGTTTTGGAATAAAATTCGGTGTATCGTACTAAAAAAGAGACAAAAATTTTTTCTGTCAAAAAATAATGCTAATCAAACAATTTCCATATATGGAAATTGTAGGACTAGCATTTTTTTTTGATTGTGACAACAAAACATTTTCCAAGTAATTTAAAATCTACTCAAAATTTTTTTTAACCGCAAATCGAATTTTGTAGTACTCGAACAAACACTCATTTTTCAAAAAAATTTTGCATGCCAAATTTTATTTTTTGTTTGCATAACGTAGTCCTGTTAGTCCTGGATACACCAATATTGGAATTTTTTCCTTTTCGCTGATTAACTTTTTTTTTCAAAAACACTAAAACCCTTTTTTCGTCTGGCATGTCTATGTATACCATGCCTCGATCGATGTCTGATAATTAAAAAATCAAATTTTAAGAGTAATCATCGTTGAAAAAGTTTGTCAAAATCTAAAAATTTGTCACTTTCGTTATAATGTTTGGGTAAGACAGAATTAGGACATTTCAGGCTGTTTCCAAAGCATTTTTAATGGGAGACGTTCAAATCTTTGCATAATCTACTTTGAGTAACCAAGGTTTTTGTCACTTGTGTTCGGTTACGAATACCACTAAAAGATTTTAAAAGTTTAGATGTAAAAATCTTTTTTTATTATTTTATGGAAAAATGCTATTCATACAACTTCCATATACAAAAAAAGCACTAATCATATACCTTTCCTGCCATTGTTTTTGTACTTGTGGAATTGCAGGAAAAAGGTATGACTAGCTTTTTTCCGTATATAAAATTGGTATGACTAGCATTTTTGGTCAACCCGGGTCATCTAATTGCCGTCATATATTAGCATAAATCGTGCATTTGCATTCAAAACAAAAGAAATGCAATTTTATTAACATAACAAATTTTTTTTAAAGCTTAAGATAAATTGGTGAACGAGATTTTTAATAGTATCAAAAAATCACATCAAAAACTTTCACCCGAATGAACCTTCATACACAGAAATCATTAATCATGCAATTCAAAACTGGACACATAAAAGTTTCGTTGTTAAAATTTTTCAAACGCCCCAAAAAGTTTTAATCGCAGTTTTGGTCCAAAATTGAATTCTGAGCTCAAACAATTTTCATTTAAGGTTTTTGTCTTTAAAGTACACCCAGTTGCTCAAAACTTTCAAAAAGTAGTCATTTGCCCAGGATTGCTTTTACTTTTGCGAAATCTGATTTTTTATATTTGAATGGGTACCAAATCATGGCTAGTTAAGGAGACAATTTGAGAAACCTTCGAAGTTAAGACTTAGGATGGAATTTCAAGAGAACAAATTTACGTCATCTGCTGAAGCGTAATAAATTATTCAGAATTGATTGTATTTTTATTGCTGTCTCTTTTTTATCAATTGAGTTTAACCAACTGTCACAAGGTGTCAACTATGGCAAATTATCATGATGTTAATAAATCCTATTTATAGAGAAAGGCGTTGCTAGATATGTCGAAGGTGTTTTGGTTAAAAAATTGGAACGAGCGAACGAAAAGGTATTTTTATCCTTACTGAGTCATCTTGTTTTTATGTTATTTTTTTCCCACTGATAAAATTTATAATTGATACCTAAATTATAAGTAAATTGTCTCCTTCGTCGATCTCAAAACAATTTTCCTTACAAATGTCCTGCCTTGAACCGATCCACATTAGTCATGTTTGGATTGGAAGTTTGAAAAGATTAACCTGAACAATTAAATAAATTTTTCGATAACTGAAGAGCCAATCGTTCGGCTGACTTCTTTGTTTGGGAGAGCCTAGTGAAATAAAAACAAGGCTACAGAGGAGCCAACTCCGCGGACCTTCAAAGGACCAATCTCATCCTCAGCCAATGTGGAGTGCATGCAATCATGATGACGAGGAGTTTAGTTTCGCCGAATAATCTCAGCTAGATTATGTTCAATGAGATCTACACTGTAGTACGAAACTATTTCAGACCAAGAAAACATGTGGTCGTTGCTGAATGAACCAATTTCCTATCAACACGTCAGACTCAAGGTGAGTCTGACGACGATTTGTAGGGAGAGCAGTAGATGTTGGAGATGAAGTGGGGCGGGGGGGGGGGGGGTGGGTATGCTGGGAGACTTCCATGTTTTAAGATGGGGAATAGAACATCAGGTCTTCCAGCTATGTATTAACAATGGGTATAGAGTTGACAATGTATTAGGATAGGTAATAGGATTGGCAAGGTTTCATGGTTTATGTAAAGCTAAGAGAATTGTAAGCAAAAGGATGTTTTTTTTTTGTTATTCTCTAGTTTTTTGAATAAAAGCTTAGGCCGTGTTATCTAATTGGTGTCATACGTTTAGATTGTGGTTTGATGGCCTTTTAATTAGTTTTTGTGGTTCATAGTAAGTCAGTGGTAGGAGTTTTTCTTATATTTTCTTATCAATAAACTGAGATTTTCTTATCAATAAAACTGGAAGTTTTTCTAAAAATCTTCAAAAAACGGTCAAATTTGATATAATTTGACCTATTAACTATTTTTTTTAATTCATTTTCATTTTTGGAAACAGTGCTTCATCTACCTGAAACAATGCTTAAACTTATTGAAACTTTAAATAATTAAGTTTTTGAGAAAAAAAAGATAAAATTCAAAGAAAATATTTAAATCACTGCGTCGTATTTTAAGTTTACCGCATTTTTATATTAAAAAACCAACAGAATACTGCATTGTGCATGAGTTTTATTCATGGCATCTTTTATAGTTTTTTTTTACATTGCATCAGTTCTTATAAATTTAATGGTTCTGTATTTATTCTATCATCTTGAAATAAGTCCTTTTTTTGTCTGCTCATTTGTAGCAACCATATGATTTACAGTTTTGAATCCTCTGTTTGTAGATATGAGGTTGATTGCTCCAACTAATCTCCTGCACTTTGCCAGGAACTGTCTCCAGAATCTTCTAGAACCCGTTAGTTTAATCCTTTGCTGGTAATTTTGAACTTATCGGACTTGTTGTCATAACAGCAATAAGTTTTGCTACAAGTCTTAGAATTTCTGTACATATAAAAACCTCTTTGAAAAATCCCGGCTCCCGTTTGTCATGCTTTTGATGGGTAATGGGACACGTTCCAGCGAAAAAGTTAGTGTTTGCATTTGCCTTGGAAGAGTCTCTGCAGTCATTTTCCCTTATTTTTCACAAATGGCTCTTTTGACTGGTTGGATACAGTCGTATAGATTTTCTTCAGCAAGTCGTAAATGAAAAGTGTCTGTCTATCTCCAATTGTTCAAATTTATTTACATCACAGAACTAGTCATGGAGTTGTAATTCAGCTCCAACATTCTCAGTTTTGCATATTGCAGTATGAAAAATACAACAATGATGGATTTTCTGTGTTCAATAGTTGATTTCAAAAATTCCACCTCAAAATAAGTATTTATCAACTGTACTCAGTCTTTTGAATAAGGGTTACTTGATTGCCCGATCAGATATATCGTGATTGTATGCTTGGATCTATCCATTATCTGATATCCATAAGTGGAATCGCCTAAAAGTTTCATTGTTTCTTCTACAACTATTGATAGAGGGTTTTTGGCTCCTTCTCTTCTAGCATCAACCACTGATTGAACGAAGTTTTTTTTCTAGGAGTATACTGAACAAAACGGTTAATTTTGGTGCACTGCATGCCAAAATTCAAAAAAAAATCTATCAGAGGAGTCTCACTTGTTCCTTTTTCTAGCTTTAAACTACACGTCAACACTCTCTGAGGACGTTTTAACTTCGTTCAAAGTTGCATAAATTTTCATGCAGTCTCCAAAATCGTTTCTCCCAACTTCAGTGGTTTTGAAAGTTGGAGGAAAGTTTGCAAGTTTTGGTTTTGATTCGTCTGGAACAACTAAACCACACTGAACGTAGCCAAAAAGGGATCCGTATTGGATTTTTTCTAGAAGAAAGTCTGTAGAAAGAAGAGATATTTTCTACGCAAAATGGGTTCTGATATGATTTTTGATCTTGTCATCGGTTTTGAAGTTTTCCCACAACTCAAACTCCCACATTTCTTCGACTTTGTATCTTTTCTCTTTTATGTATTCCCGTCTCATATAATCTATCACTCTCTTTTATTACCTCGTTCAATATCTTGATCTGGTTAAAAGGGCGAGCTTCTTGACTGGAACAGATATGCTAGAAAAATTCCATTGCTTCGTACACTGTTTTAGAAAGATCACAATAACCGTCCACATTGAAACAGTCAATTTTTTTATGTTTTTGAGAGAAGAAAAGCATTCAATTGTGCTTTCTGGTTTTTGTTTTTTTAGAAAGACATGACCATAATCTCAAAAAGCGAGATTGGTTATGTCTATCCTTAAGGTTCTGCATATCGGTGTCAAACTCTAATCTGCTGTACAACCCTGTTGGCGTATAATGACACATTGAAACATTTACATTTACTTGATGAATTTTTTTTGATAAATGTCTAATCAACTACAGCTTTTGGGTTGAAGAAAAAGCACTTGACTGAATACTTTCTAACAAAAAGTATTGTCGGATGGTTCCAAGAAAACTACAAAACACTGATTCTATGCAATTTATTCAGCAGTTCTTTTTTTGAAATTCTACCAGAGAAACTTGAATAAAACTCATGATTTGCATGTTTTGAATTTAATTTTATGTGAAAGTGTGGTTTCTTATTTGTAAGTCTGAATTATTGCAGTACATTTACTTTACAATGCAGCAATTTGTACACTTTTTGTGTGATCTAATTTTTTTCTCAAAAAAACTTTTTTTTTGAAGTTTCGTTTAGTTTCAGCCTGCAAGTAGATATAGCACTGTTTTAAAGAGTAAGATGATCCAATAAAAGATTAAATAGACCAATTCATATCAAATCATACCGCGTTATCAAGATTTTTAGAAAAATTTTCAATTCCTACCAAAAAACCTTTACCATTGCCTCTTACTATTTACCATAAACCAGAAAACTAAGTACAAGACCGTCATTCCGCAATCTACACGAATTACACCAAAAAAATTTTTTCAATTAGATAACAAGACCCAAGGTTTTTTCCAAAAAAAACTAGAGAAAAACCAAAAAAAAACATGCTTTTACTTACAATTCTCTTACCATTACACAAACCATGAAACCTTACCAATCCTACCCTCTTACATTGTAGACTCTATACCCAATATTAATACATAGCTGAGAGACCTGATGTTCTATTTCCTATCTCAAAATGTTAGGGTCTCCCATCACCCCATCCCTCTCTTCAGCTTTAACATCTACTACAAGAGAGACTCCGTGATAGTGGCGAAATGATACGAACAGCAATGATATCTCGGGACTAAGAAGAGCAGAGTCTAAACTCAAGTTGCTTGAGGCAAATAGAGTAAAAACTGGCATAAATTTAACTGATAAGCAAACTTTCTTACAGTTTAGCGATCAAGCCCAGCATTTTGCTTTGACATCTAAAGTCTATAATCTAGAAAAAGTTGCATACAATTCTATGTCATTCTTTAGAAAACAGGATACAATAATAAAGGTTACAAGGAAAATTTTCGGAAACCCAAACTGCATGGGAAAACAACACAGAGATGGCTCGTGTTTTTTAACGGATAAGAATTGTAACTCATGCGGTAAGATAGAACACTTTGCAACAAATTGTCGAAGTAAAATCAGCAACATCAACACCCGTAAAAGTAGATTTCTTAAATGAATAAACCATTATGTTGTTGGGGATTAGTTCTCAGAGGGAGATTAGAAAACTCAAATAACGGCACTTAAATAAGAAGTTTTTTGCATCAAGTTTCATCGGCATGGCCGCCGTAAGGTAAAGTGTCGCCCTTGTTGGCATTTCGAAGAAAATGCAATTGAACACAGGTGCTGGTACAAAAATGCCATTGTCGAGCATCTTAAAGAACCTTCGAGCACCTACTCTAGATGGAACTGCTCGAGCTCTAAAAGCATACGTTGGACACAAAATTTGTTCTAAAGTAATAAAGCAATAAGTGACCTGACATGGAATGGTCAAACCGAGTCAAGGCTTCCCCTAGCAAGGGTGAGATCGAAAAAAGAATGCGGAATCCATGGACCTAACCTCTTACCACCCTATCAATTGATACATGGGCTTCAGAAAAATGTTTAGAAAATTTGCCCCTTAAAGGTTTACGAGCAAATCGAACTTGATGATGAAGTGAATTAAGTGGGCTCAGTTAAGACCCAACAGGTTCAAGCTGTGTCGACTATCTCAAAGGTTGGAGAACTCTTCCTCAATCTTTCAAAACTGCTTCGAAGTTTTTTCCATGCACGTACTTCTGGCCACTTAGAAACTGTTTCCCAGCAATAGTTTTTTTGACAGATCTCGCATCGTGAGACAAATCGTTCTACGCGCATATCAGGCCACCAAACATACATTCTCAGAGTCAATAGGGCTGATCTTTTTGCAATGCGACCTGTGCGTCTACGGTACATCATGCGAGCACTATAAAAAGCGTATAACGGCAGACAATGAATCACTCAGAGAAAAAATTCGTCATCAAGGAGACTGATTCTACTCGAATTCACTCAAAAATGTTTTGTTTTTAGACTATACAGTTTCAGTTGATTAGAATCAAGCTTAATGATAGACTTGCTGAGAAGACTCGGAGGAGTAACAAGATACCCGCAGTCCACAAAACTTTTCAATCACTACCACTTTTGCGGGCTGGCAAATTTCTGAAGGAATAATTCCGAAGTTTGCGACCAAGATGCTCCCATTAAAAGAATTGCGTGGTCAAGACTTCGAATGAACAGACAAAGACAACAAATGTTCTTTCAGAGTAACAACTAAGAGCTTTGCTCAAAACCAGTCGGGTGGTTTGCACGCGTAGGCGGGTTTCTTGCACAATAAGGAGATCCAGTGATCTATGTTGCAGGAAAGCTATTATGAGCTGAGCGCAACTACTCGAACGTAAATTGAGAAGTTTTGGCAGTCGTCTTTTTGGTGGCAAGACTGAAATATTTCTTTGATGGGCGCAAACTTGCTCCCTGGAACTCCGCACCAATCGCAGACCACTGCAGTAAATAATTTTGCCAGAAGATGGGATACCAAAAACAGCGGCAGCTAGACAAACCAGATGAACTATTGCGCTCATGGGACTCAACTTCAAGTTGAAGTATGTATCAGGAGGGCAGATTCCATATGCCAATGCTTTGAGCAGACTACATTTTGACGACGAGACACAGAAGAAGAGAACATCTGTTTCCTTCAGAAAGACATCTTCTTTGCAGACACGCAGTCAACTAAGCTGAATTTCATCGAAAACGATCTCAATTGAATCAATTTTTTGAAAACCTCTCCAAACGCATGCTAAACGGTGATTGGAGACAATGCTCAAAAACTGAATCACTTTTCAGAAGCAAGCCAAAACAATGAAAACACGAGAAGGCATCATCTACCGAGGTGTTGTTCTTTCATGTTGCCGAGCACCAGAAGACAAGTTATGGACGCTGCCCACAAGACGCATCCAGGTAGACAAGCAGCAGTAGCGACTCTGAGAATGTATGTTTGGTGGCCTGATATGCGCGTAGAACGATTTGTCTCACGATGCGAGATCTGTCAAAAAAACTATTGCTGGGATAATAATTGACTTTCGATTGTTTTTGTTTTCGGTCTTTCGCCCATGAGTCCTTCGCCCATTCGGTATTTCGCTCATGAGAATAACCCCCTAAATCATCTTTAACATCACATCAATCTCAATAAAATCTTAATAAAAAATTTTTGCCTTGCTCCTACCCACAACATTAGTAATTACACAAAATTCGAAATCTTCCAAACAAAATTACTACAAACCTGAATAAACTATCTGATAAAAATTTTTAACCACACAAAAACTTACAAAAACAAAAAGTAGAAATTGCATACCTACCATATATCCTAATATTTCCCCCTAGTTGAAATTGTTGCTAAATTTTCAAACTTGAAGAAGTTAGTAATCCAGTTGTATTCATTAAAACAACTAAAATTTACCCTTGTGTAATTGATCATATACGCCAGGTCAGGGTTCGAATCCCGGATATCGACACCGTGCTTGACCATGATGCCAGTGGCCAAAACACAGATCAAGAAAGAAACCGACACCACAATTAGACATATAGTCACTTCTCTGTCGTTTCTGGAGACACTTGCAGTATTTTTCTTCAGTTTGTAGAGGGTGAGAATGTTGACTACTATAAGTGCGATTCCCGGAACTGTTGCACTGGACATCGCGATGAAGTCGTTATAGGTTTGCAGCTGCTCTGCAGTTAGAATCGACCAGGGATTGTCAACGACGATGAAGCAGAAGTCATCGCCCTAATCATGCATCAAAAAATTGATTGGTTTGAAAAAAAATCGAGTATCGATTTTTAACCACTTAATTCCTCTAGTATATTTTTACACTTTCTAAAATCTAGATGAGAGTTTTACTCTCTATTGAACTCTTACGTCTGTTAGAAAAAAAATTTTAGAAATTTTAAGATTTCATCTTCAAAATTCAATTCCAATTTGAAAACAATTAGAAATCTCTAATCATAGTGGAACGCAAAACAGCTTTCAAAAAGTCACACCTTTTTGAAAAGTTCCTGAGCTTACATCGTTTTTTTTCAGGCATGATTCTCACCTGAACGTCAAACGTGAAGAAAACGGGCAGACATATCAGTGCCCACAAGAGCCATACTAAGAGGGAGGTCACAGTTGCTCTGACTGGAGTTGAGTTCTGGCTGTAGTAGATTGGCTTCCAAACTGCGATCAGACGGTCTACTGCCGTTGCAACGAGCACATAGGCCGCTAGAAACAGTGTTTTGAAAATTTGGACACCACCCGATCCCCCTGAGGTGCGGATCATATGTTAGGTCCGCACCTGGTTTTGAGTCCGACCTCAAATTTTGCTTATGGATGATATTGCAAAAAGTTCACCGGAACATGTTTAAGAGAACAAACTTGATTTACGTGAACATTCGAATATTGGTTTCGCAGCTACTAAATTTTTTGACAAATGGTTATGTGTTAGATTCAAAAAATTATGAATGTCACCACCTTTTTTTGACCATGATATAACCTTATACAATTGCCTAATTCAACACCTGTTTAAAGAATGCCTAATTCAACACCTGTTTAAAGAAAGCAAAATTGTGAATGGTAAATCAAATTTTGTTATAGAAACGGTTTTTAAAGAACTATATTCTTTTTTCAAATTAAAAAAGAAACAAAAAAATCTGGACCAGAAACTAAGGCCTGAAAATACTAACATGCAACAGTTGAGAAGTATGTAAACCAGCCCATATATCGACACAACAAAGTGTGATGCACGAACAAATCCAGTCCGAGCATTGGGAACAGCGATTCAAGGATTCCGTCCTGAAATCCTGCAAGTGTATCGCCCACTGCCAGACACTTTATAAAGTTTTGTCCAGACGATTTCTGGGCAAAATTGGATGCAGTCAAATACGCGAAGACGTTTCCAATCAGCCCGAGTATCGCTGTCCCCGCGAGAAGAGATTGGAAAATACGAATGTATGTCTCGTATGCGTTTTCCCCTTCAGTTGCGACAGAATCGGTTGTAGTGTTGAAAATGGCTTCCATTACTCTAATGATGGATCTATGCTGAGCTAAAAAATATTTTTTAAAACAGAGGTGTCATCTACAAAGCTTCAAAATATCTTTAAAGCAAAAAACCTTTCAACCCAAATAAATGTCAACAATTTTACAAACTGCAATCGCGGTTTTTCACAAAAGACTGTTCTTTTTGATAAAGTTCTAGCTAATTAGGAAGGATAGAATCTCGAAGTGGTGATATACTAGATGAGTATTATTCTTAGAACAAAATATAAACAAAAAATTTGATATGAAACTAAATACTTTGATGCCGATGACGAGTAAAAGTTATTGATAAAATAGTATTCTAGCTAATCATGCTACGTATTTAATACCAAAATGGTGAGAACTTTCTTTGTCAAAGATCAAACAGACTTAATATAATAAAATATTTTCATAAAATTGAACAAAATTTAGCAACTGGTGATACCAAGAAAGATGAAGATTTTAATCAAAAGCTTGACTGAAGCTGATAAATCAAAGATTTTCAGGAGCTCACTCATCTGCTCCTTACGTTAGAAAAAAAAGGTTTTTAATTAGTCTATAATCAAAATCAAAGTGAACGAACAGAACAAGATAAAACGCTAGAGCTATATTTTGTTTTCCCTAGTTTTTTCAAAAAAAGAGCTGGTTGCTGAACAAACCAAGGGCGGAGTCTAGATTGGGAAACTTTATTAAAATTGAGCCTAAAATAATTCTTAAAGATAAACCGGTTTTTGTTCAAGTAGTTCAGATGATATCAAAACAATTCAGCATTTCGAAAAATAATCACGAAAAATTTCTCAATGATAAGTTTGATTATAAAAAAGATTAATTCTTCATAGACACCGTTTCTTGCATCTGGGGGTTTAATTTAAATAATATGAATAAAAAAAACAGCGTAATTAAAATAATTATACTCATATTTTGGCTCTAAACTTAATGGTATAGCAGTCGAGGAAGAGAAATAGAGAGAAATAAAGAAAAAAGAAAAAGAAAAAGAGCGATAGCGAGAGAGAAAGGGGAGCGAGAGAAATTTGGAGGAAGTTAGGGACACACTCAGGCACGTGTACAGGTACTTAACAAACACACACACAAACTGAGAGGGAAAGCGATAGAAAAAAAACAATTTTTTATACTCTTTGCTCTAAGTTGATCAGAAGAAAATCTTCAACCTAGAAAAACATTTGAAATTTTTTTGTTTTATGAGCAAGATTGTCTAAAGTGTTACTTGCTTTGCCATAAAATATAGCATGAAAAGCTCACATTACAAATCTTCAATACCTTACAACTAAAACTAAAACTCAAAAACTCAAAAACGCAAATATATTTGAAGTCATCCGACAAATTATAGGAGTTTCGATAGCTTTTTAATAATTATTTAAATCAGCCTTATTTTATCGGAATATTAAACCTATTGTTCTTGTCAGAAAACTTGAGTATGTTTAAATGAAATAGCATCTAGAACAAAAGTACATTGCAGGTTTCAATATACGGTCAACGAATTAAACTCTATTTCAAAGTCTTTTTTCTCAAATTGGGTTGAATTTGAACAAAAAAAAACGATGATAGCGAAATTTGCTAAAATGTTTGCTAACAAATACTAATGCCCAACTTATGGTGACATATTTGGACCCAATTTTTTGTTCAAGAATTGCGCTTTTCTTGCTCAGTTTTGCTAATCAAAAATACTTAAAAACTGCCAGGTCAGTTCTTCGAAAAAAAAATGTCTGAAAATTATTAAAACGTTTGTTTTCTGCATCTTGTTATCATCTAATTTTTTTTCAAACACAACCGCATAATTTTGCATAATCTTGAAAATAATCCTGGGTCCCAGTTTTTCAGTTAACAATGCATTTTTTTCAAATTTTGTCTGAATTCAACCCATTTGAAAACATAAATTCAAAGGCTTAGTTTTTTAACCGTTTTGTTTGTTAATTTCAACACAACTCTGTAGTTTTTTTACATAAAATTTTTGGTTAAGTTTTGAACAAAAGCCTAGTAATTGTTTTGTTAACATTTTGTTATTATACGCAGAACTTGGCATTTTATAAAAACCCTTAGAAACACGAAACACTAAAAACTGAAAAACTCTGCAAAAGGTTAAAACACAATCTATTTTTCGACTTACCAGATTGTTGAAAGTTCTGTGGAGTGTCACATTTCTATGAACAGTTTTTTTTTGCCAGGAAACGAAACTCGATTTTGCGCTTTTTTGACATTTAGCTGAACACTGATGACAATTAAGGAGAATTAACTACAAGCTTAAGCTAAATCAACTATTGAAATTGGTGTGTTAGTATCAAAATGGAGACTTGTATGTTCCGGTGTTATATTTTTTTTCCTCAAATTATTTAGAATTCAAATTATATAAATCAAAAAAACTTCTTTGGAAAAAACAAAATGTCATCCAGAGCAAAAATCAACTACACAAGGCAACAGGGGCGGATTTAGGGAAGGGGGGAAGTCCCCCTTCAGGGATTCGACCTACTGCCGAACCAAAGGGTCCCCTTTGTACTATTTTGAGATATCCATTTCTAGTAACGGACACTTCGGCGCCAATATATACTAACGACGCGTTTTTTTTGGTCAAAATTTTCCAAAAAGTGCCTAAAAACGCTCTTCGGCCTGTTTTTTCAAAATTTTGCCTGCGGCGGAGACATTTTGACCAAAACAGGGTCTTTTTAGTGCTTTAGAAGAGCTCGGAAAATTAGTTTGGTCGACCTAAAAAAGGTCGACAAAAAATTCGAAATTTTTTGAAAATCTGCCCCCCCCCCTCAAGAAAATCCTAGATTTGTCACTGCAAGGCAAGAAAGTTCAATTGAATCTACCGTACTGATTAAAATATCTGAACGCAATAGAGAAAACCGGGAACTTTAAAAACTTTTCTCAATTTGGCTTGTTTTTATATAAAAAAGGCTGGTCGCAAAAGTTGAAAAAAGTTGCTTAGTTTAATAATCTACAGTTTGAGCTGCTAAATTTGGACCCTTTTCTCGCTCTGGGTAGTTAATCAAAACCACGCAAAACCCATAGCGTCATTTCTTTTACATACTTAGTTTGAAAATGATCAACGCGATTTGACACGATTTTTTTTTATATCACCTATAGACGGTGGCTATATTACTCCGTCTAAAGTTGTTTGCAGATCCAAATTTATTTAAATCAAACTAATTATCTAGATCAAAAATAAAAAAAATCTTCTTTTTCTTCAAAACTCGTTTCTGCTGAACGTTTGATTTAAAATGTTTCTTTTTGTTTTAATTTTCTATCGATAAAAAGAATTGCGTTTAAAAAGAATTGACCTAATGTGACCGGTTAGCTTCAAAAATTCATACTCATTTTGAATTTATCTTTTTATAATTTAAATCGCTGCGAACTTTTGAAAATCTGGAAACAAAACTGCTCATATCAGTGCTAAATTTTGAATGTTACCACAGTTCTTATAAGCATTTTAAATCTACTAACACAATCTATTTGTCTCAATTAGCTTGTCTCAATTTAATTTGTTTTTCTATTCTGAGCCGCAATTTTTTCGCTGCATTTGCAACGCGCTTCAAATTCGAGCAAAAACGTTTGGAACTGAACAAGTAGGAGAATCGAAGCTTGGCACCACTTTCGATACCAGACGAGCATAAAAAATTATATAAGAAGAAAAAAATGTTAAGCATTGATGAACCAAAAAATTGGTATGTCTCGATAAAGGACAACGCTAAAGCTGGAGGTACGTGTTTGACGTTTTTGAGTTTTTTATACTGATGTGGGATAAGTTCGCCATTTGCAAAATTGGACTGTGCTCAACATGTTAGTTGTTTGGCTAGTAAAAAGTGAGAAGAGTTAGAAATTTTGAGATACTGGAGTTTTCCCAAAGTCATAAAATTTTTTAGAAAACAATCAGTAGTGGCCGCAACTACAAGAAAGTTGTATTGCAACTGGTTCACACAATTGAAACTTTCTTTTCAGATTTAGAAGAGAAGTTTTTAAGAAAATTCAAACAGTTTCTGAAAATCGGTCAAAAGTTGAAAAGTTGATTCATTGAAATCCCTAGTTTTATCTGCATAAAAATGTTGTTGCCACTTAAGCAGAGAAGACTCCCAAAATTTAGTTTCTAGATTGTACTTTTAACCTGAGATTTGGCAGGGAGTAGTTATCGAGAAAACTAAAAAAAGTTAACAAATCAAAAAAATGTACATTTCCGAGAATCATAGATTTTTCGATTAAAAAATTAATTTAAAAAATCAATAAATTGAATCAAAATGTAGATTCACGCAACTTACGATTGAACCCAAAAACTCAAATTTGAGAAAAAAACTTCTTGACAAGTAGGAAAAGTTTATAGAAATTCAATCAAAAATCAAAATTTTGACTTTTTCGAAGGCCATAACTTTTTGTGTCAAAAAAATTGGGCGTAGTTGCGGATGCAAAGATATTTGCGGATGCAAAGAAATTGAGCGTAGTTGCGGATGCAAAAATAAATCGCAACATGATTTTTGCTTTGAACCCTAATTTTTACAAATGAGCATTTTTTGTAAAGAAATCAAAATGTTTTAAAAAACAATAAAAAACTCAAAAAATTCAGAGGCCCATAACTATTCAGAGGGCCATAAATTTATGAGCAAAGAGAATTCGTGTAGCCGCTTATGCAAGGCAGCTTTCCACACCCGTTTCTATCCATTGAACCTCTAATCTTAGGTTTTGGAGATAGTTTTTGAGAAAAGTAAAAAAAAAGGCTCAAAATTTTAAATTTTTGACTTTTACGATGGCGATAAATTTTTGTGAAGGAAAATTGTGAGTGGTCGCTAATGCAGGAGAGTTTTGCACCCTTCCTCACTTACGCCACCAATCTCAGATTTGGGAGGCATGTTTTCGATAAAAGTTATAGGGGTTCGAAACACGTTCAAAATTTTGGGTGTATGCAGGCACATAGTGGATTAGGCGATCTTTTCAGTGATACCTGCTTTTTTTCGAAAAACGGTAAAACAGTTTGCAAAAATCAAAAATAAACAGGAAAATTTAAAGCAAAAATTGAAAAAAAAATCATGGCATCTCACAAAATTTAAAATGAAAAAATCCAATCCCAAGCATTTTCAGAATCATGTTTTTTCCAAATAAAAGTTCTAGACAAATATGCCAAGGAAAAGACATTTGAATTTTGAATTAGTAGCAAACAATTTTGAACCGAAAAAAAAGTTTGTTTTATAAACAACTTCAAAAAGTTTCAAGACCCACCAGAAACTAAAAAGAACAACACCTGCACTTGCAACTACAATAAGAGAGCTTACTGTGCAAGACAGGCCAAGATTGAGCAGCTAAGTCCACAAAATTTGAACAGATAAACGAAAGTCCCACAAATAATTTTTTCATCGGAATAAAAAATGAATGCCTTTTCAATTGCATACATTATGAATTAAAAAAACATTGCGCTACCGGGATTCAACCATCTGATTTTAGGTT